TCTTTCACATTTCAGAAAGAATGTATTCTCCCTTCCTTCCTTCTACAACTCACGTTTTCCTCTTCCTCCCTCCTCCACCTGCCCAACAATTGGTACTAATTAAAAGGCCAAGAGACAGGTTTATTTGCTATCAAATGGACCAATCTGGCAGCAACTAACAACAAGCAGGAACAATGAATGTACTGTTTGTGGACAGAAGAAAGCTTTTCAATACTGTTATCACGAAAGTTCTGTTAAACTGAGCTGGTCCAGAACAATGGATAGAAGGGGAAAGTGTGAAAGAACAACTCGACCACGTTTACTGTTACTAACCTGACACAGAGAGTCTGGCCTCCCGGCTGAATTTCACATTAGCTATGTTGGTAGCCACACAGTGAAAAATCCCACTGTCTTCTGCTCTGAGTCCGGTAATCTGCAAGACTCCTTTGGGAAGCAGCGTGTACCTAGAGGACATGAAAAGAACAAACGACAAAACAGTTGCAGAATGCAACGTGGGTGGGGAGCAGAACTGCACGTCCCAGGTGAGGCTGCCCTAACCTAGGCCAGTCGGGATCATGCTGACACCCACTAGCCCCAGTGTTTAGGGGTACATACAGGTGCTGCACAACCCAGTACAGCACCAAGCAAGCTCAATCAGACCCAAGGATCGGGGCCTATATTTTAAAAAATCCTTTCAATGTTAATCTCTGGTCTCATAATGCATGGGATTTATCCTCCGCTTTGAAGAGACATTCTCCCTTCCTACGTGTTTACCAGTAGTAACATTCACTCGTAAGAAAGGCGTATAAAACACTGGATAGATTGCGGCTGGTCTGATTTTTTTAATCAGGACACCGTCCCTTTAGCGGGAACTTTCCTCTCATGTTCCACTGGAATGTTCCACGTCAAAGGTGGTGTCCCTGGTACATCATCTTGCTATACCAGAGATAGGAGTCACCAGCAAAGAAGAACGTTTGCGGAGAGGGAACTAGCAAGATGTGAACGGTTTTGAGAAATCGTCCCCACTGAGTGCGGCATCGTTTTCTTGACTTTGTTAATAGTAGTTTTCATGTTACCAAAATTGGACAATGGCCCGGGGCGGCTGGCCCCTGTAACTGAAGTAAGTCCAGCTTGCCTGTGCTAGAACAGGTGCTCCCAGCTGGGCCAATTAACAGGGTGGGCTGCCCCTGGGGCTCTAACGGGAGTTCCAGTGAAGGGCTGGTTGTGAGAAGGAACTGGCTGAGGGTCAGCAGGTGAGAGAGAGGCAGGAAGCTGGAAGAAGCAGGACTGCCAGAGACCCCCGGGAGGGGAGGCAGTGAAAGCGTGAGTTATAAAATTGGTTTTGTTTGTTGGTTTCAGTTTGGGAATAAAACTGCCCCAAAGAGGCTTTAGGCCTAGCAGAGAGTCATTTGGAAGCTGGGGAGAAGCCCTGCCTTATCACAGACAAAAATGTGATTATTCAGATTTCATTGGTTGAAAGACAAAAGAATACCACCACCGCACCTCAGCGCGAATTTCCCGCTAGCATCGTTCCATGTGGTGCAAGATGGCTCAGTTTGGCCTCATGGCGCTGGACCAGGTTACACAAATGGTGATTTTTGTCCACCCTCTACCCTGGTCTCATGATGCAGAACGTGTTGGGCTGTTGACCACATTCATTGGCCAAACACACCAGAACTTCTGCCATGTGTCTGTTACTACGGACGCTGCCAATAAAACTCTCTCTGTCTTACTGGCTCCTCATGATACGGGTGGGAATGAACCTCAGACCTTCTCACACCACATGTCAATAGAACAATTAAAAAAACAAAACTAAAACAACCTAGATTGAAAAGCATTAGTGATCTGGCAAACCAATAAAAGCCAGGGAATTCAAAGTTAAAGCTTAAATACTGTTCTCTCTTTAACCCAAAGGGATTAACCTTGATGTTGCAGAAGTCTCTAAATAACATGCTTCAAAGGTGGCGTCCCTGGTACATCATCTTGCTATACCAGAGATAGGAGTAATGCTATGTGATGGCAATGGCCTGAGTTACACACAGAGTTTGTAGGTTTTAGGAAGTCTGAATTTTCTGGCCTTTGCGAGTCAGTTCTGCATAACCTTAAATGAGTGTGTTCGTGGGTTTCAAAGATATATATTTATTATAGGTTGTCTGGCATTTTTTTTAAACAACCAAGTCGTTAAATTAGCTGGTAGTAGGTCATTACATTTTGATGAGTTAATGATTATTTCTGTCGGGAAGATTGAGACTATCTTTTCTAGATCAGCATATGGTTAAGTGTCTCTAACCGGCTCTCAATGTGGGTTCCAAGGGCTCGGCTGAATGTCTGAGACAGCATGACAGCAATCAGTTTTGGACGTACTGCCGTTGATTGCAATCTCTCTGGGACTTTCAAATGTCCTTTATTTTGGATGAATTATACCACCAGAAGCCTTCATTTTTGTTAACAATCTGCCCACCACATTAGAAGATTCAATTCCAAAGCTATTATTCTGCCTTCAAAGCCTCAAAGTGGAACACTCAGCATACAAATGTGTATGCAATTTATACACAGAATTGCACCAACCATGATTAATGCAGAATTCCAACTCGGCTACAAAGGAAGCATCCCTCTTCACCAAATCCCACTGGTGTCAGAGATTACAAATGTCACGATTTATGGACTGAGCTAATGTTCAAAAACCTGCTGGGCAACCTTCATCCTAAAAGAAGCAGAATCAGTTCAAAATCAGGATGCCCAGCCCAGGTAGAAGGAGCCTACACTAGCTCCTTTGAAAGCATCTGAATATTCCTCCTTCACCAAAGGAAAAGGAGAGGGCAAGTCGGGCAAATGGGTTTGGTTAGCAGAGCACTGGATTCTGTGGCTGTTCCTTTTGAGCCTCAGCTAAAGTGAGGTGTGGTGGTCTCACTCAAATCCCTACCAGACGCGCGGCCAATGTTAGCAATCTGGGGATGTGGACATACCTGGCAGTCTATTCTGGCACCGCAGTTCCAACCCTGTGCATCTCTGGAACAGATACATGAGGAACTTGCTCACAGATCTGCCCATGGCATGGGCCTGCTCTAGCCGGTTCTAACAGTCTCATTTTGATGAGCGCCAAAAATGTTAGGCCCAATTCTGTGGCCTTTACTCACATTGAGTAGTACTTACCTTAAACAGTCCCACTGTGCCATGCATCCTGCTAGCAAGCACCCTTATGGAGCTACTCACATGAGTAAGTACTATTCAAAGTGAGTTAGGTAGAAGAATAAAGCCTAGGGTCTGTCTATACTGCCACAAAAACGCTGCAGCTCAGAGTCTCAGAGCCCAGGTCAGCTGACTCAGGATTGGGTTGTGGGGCTAAAAATAGCAATGTAGACATTCAGACTCCGGCTGGAGCCCAGGCTCCCGCTCCAGCGTGCCCAAACGTCTACACTGCAGGTTTATAGCCCTGAAGCCCAAACCTTGCGAGCCCAAGTCAGCTGACCCGGGCCAACCACGGCCATGCCCAGGGTCTTTTATTGCAGTGCAGACATACCACTAGTAGGCTACAAACGGGTAGATGGAATACACCAGGAAAATCAGACCGTTGCCATTTTAAACTCTGTGGTCGGTCTCTTGGGCGCTTCTATAAGTTCACAGTAGAACTGAAAAGGTCAAGTATTGTTCTGGTTCGCGTGTGTTTTGTTTTAGCTCCAAAGGAACCAAGCCACATTCTGAGGCTGAGCTGACGTTGTAAAAACAGGGGCCTTTCAGAAAAATATTTACAGCTTCCTGGTTTCATCTCTCCCCAGTGTGCGGACATCAAGACACGATCAAGGTGTGCCGTGATGGATTGGCTCCGGGAAGACTTGCTTTGTGGTTCTTTGGCTGCAGCTGTGACTTTCACAGACTGGAGCCAGCACATCATGCATTTCCTGTTACGTGCTGAAACTCTTCCCAAAGACTAGGGTGGCCTGCCACCTGTCCCTTCATTCCACGCCGACACTCAGAAGATCAAAACAGGCTTAGCGGCACTTCCTAAGCAAAGGGGGAAGGCTGTCAAACAAAGGAAGAAAGGACATGCCATTTAAGTTTTCAGACAGGGCAAGAAGGGGAAAGTGATTTTGGTTTTTTTAAGGAGGATTGAACGGGAAAGAGCTAAAAAGGTCTTCTGTTGGCACCCTTCTTTTGGTCTCGTTGCCAAGGCTGGGGTATTACAATGTAGCTCACTTGGGAAGGCAACGCTAGTGATGAGATTGCATTTTAAACCTTCAGAACATAAAAGGATCTTATTGTACAACGCTTTGTCGTGCAGGTGAGCGCTAACTTTTGTGAGCCGTCCCTGGTGGAGGGCTCCTAGCAAGGGAGAATCAACCTGCAGTGGGAGCAAAGTGCAGAGATAGATATTGTACATGGCAATCTGATTAAAAAACCTCTCCGGTCTGAGACAAAACATGGCCAGTGACTGCCACACTGGCTCAGGAAGAGGCCCTACAGAAACTGATTAAGGCTATACAGGGTGGCCAGGACAGTATGTTCCCAGCCCCTGGGATGGCCCTAGGACGCATTAATTCGGCACATCCCCTAGCCAGAAGCATAGGTGCTGGAACTAGAGATGCAGCACCCCCTGGCTTGAAGTGGTTTCCATCATATACAGGGTTCACAGTTTGGTTCAATGGCTCTCAGCACCCCCACTATACAAATTGTTCCAGCACCTCGAGCCAGGAGGATGGAGCTCATGGCATAGATTTAAATGCTTTCCAAGCCAGAAACACAAGAGAAGAGCCTTCTTTCAGGTGAACCCCACTCTGGTGTGCAGTGGGTCCAGATAATGCATTTGCATCTCTCTCTACCTGCAAGAGAGCCTCTGGCCGGCTATTTCCAACATGTGGGTGTCGGTCAGTAATAAGTTACCTCTACGTCTCTTACCTATCATTGTCCGTGTTGATGGGGACTCGATTCTTTTGCCACAAGATTACAGGCTCTGGTAAACCATGGATCTGGCACTGGAACCTTGCGACGCCACCTTCTTCCACAACTGCGTTCTGAGGATGAATATGGAAGTCTGACATAGCTGGAGGAGGGAAGAAGAGAAACAAAGACACAAAATGAGATCACAACAGCTCAGCGCTGAGAGGGTGCACTGCCAGCACAGGTCACAATGACCCAGCCTGGCAGAAATATCCACCACTTCACCTGCCAAGAAACAGCAAATACAAATGTGGCTTGTGGGGTCATATCTGAATTTGGCCCGTGCCTGGGGGTGCAGAAACGATGTTTGCACACCAGGCATTTGCACATGCAAACCCTGCCCCCGGGCAAAGAAAGCAGGATGGGAGGCTTGCGATTACACGATTTACGTGCTCCGCAATCATGTGTAGAAGTGTCCCCACCATCACAGAGGGGCCAGTAGGATGCTCCTTGTCACTCATTGGCAGTCTTTGTCGTCAGCTTCAGTAGGATTTGGATTCGGCCGCACAGCAGAAATGGTCTTGTCTCTGCACTTTTCATTCCAATGCTGTCAGTGCCCTTGTACCATGTCCACCACAAACGTCCTGTCTGTGGGTTTGACTTAACTTCCCCATTAATTTTATTTTCATTTCTCCATTGAAAGAGTGCAAAGAACAGGCTAGCAAACATTTTATGGAAGTTGATTTTTTGCTTGGCACATACTCCAGGTGGCCTCCTATCATTTCAAGTTTCTGACTTCCAGCATTACAAAAGGAAAGGAAACAACCCCAATAAAGTCAGGGCTGTTAGAATGACAGGATCAGAACTGATCGTGACAGAGGTTGGCAAACACTGTCCAGCATCAGAGATGATCCCAGTGCCAATTTTAGTGCATATTTTCTCCATCACCCTAATAGCAGCAGAGGGACCAGTTCAACAACCATTCAGAAAGGAGAATTGGTGACAGAAAAGAGAATTGTTGACATTACTGAATACAAAGAGACGACAGGCCAAATTCTAAGCTGCCCAGATCAAGACACTGGGACTCACTAGTTAAGTACAGAACTAGGAGAGCTATCAATCACACAAGAACTCACACAGCAGCCCCTAAACCCCTGATCCAGCATGCATTGGGCTCACTATAAAACCAGGGAGGGAAGTCCTGGCTGGGAATCTGGAGAGGAAGGGTCTAGGACACTGCAGTATGATCTACAGTAGCGTTCCCACCATTGGAACCATTGATGGATCTGCACAGGTGATCAGCCTCCGGCATATAGTCACCATGTCACAAGGCCAATAGTTTTAAGTCTGAGCTTCGTCCATCATTCATTCCAGTCAAAGAAAAACAATAAAAAGGGAGCACTGTCCTGAGGGATCCTTTCGACAAATGTTCGGGTTAGTCCTTATTTTAGCTCTCCCAAACTGTTAGCATGATGCAGTGGGGTTTTGCAATAATTTGGGAAGAAAACAGAGTTCCCCCTGTGCTAACATGGCATCACACTCTGGAGGAGGATAGGAAAGGCCACAAACTGCTTAAAGATGGCCATGCTTATCAAGGAGTCGCACACAGTCATGATAGGATTTGGGGTATCCTTCAACAGAAGACAAGTTTAAGACAACAGCCCATTGTTTGTTATTTCCTGGTCACGACTCTCATTAGGATTTAGGTTGCCCTCCATTACATTAAGGTGAAAAGCATGGGTATAAACTACTGATTCACACATCTACCTCAGTTCTGCACAACCACATAACATGCACGTTCCTCTACAGTTAAACTCAGTTACTACAGGCCCTAAGCCTGGGAGGTAATGGGCATCTCCAACAAGCATCCTTTTCAACCAGTGGGCCTGTAGTGATTCCCACAAAGTGCACAGGACTTTGTAGGATTAGACCCTGCATGCCCACAACATCTGGGGTCGCCTGGGCTTCTCATTTCAACCAGCTGTCAGCCAAGGATAACTCTCAAAGCATCAGGGAAGGAGAAGAAAGACCAGCCTTTGCAGTACAATAAGAGTAATAATCATTTGTGGGTAAAGTGTCTGGCATGCTGTTAGCATTCCATAAATCATCATAATCAGAACGCAATAATTATTACTATTAATTAATTGGAAGGTGTTAACTTTTGACTGCGTAATAAACATAACATGGGCTAATAAACACCTCAGAGCCTTTATTTAGCTCATGATTCATTTTTAGTACCATATACACAGAAGGATCCCTCAAGTTACCATATAATATCAACTCCAAGAAAATCACCTATCCCCTAGCTCTGCTTTACCATCCCTAAAAACACCCCTCTCCCGCACAGAAAAGCCCACCTCCTTTTACATGTGTCAAGGGTAATCAATGTGCATCTGCTAAGGAACAAGCTACGTATGTGTCAGGGTTGCTCATCTGCCGAATCCAGTTGGGCTTGGGCAGATGGGAGACGGCTATTAGCAATACATTAAATATGTGCTGCCTTAAACCACCCTGCTCCCCAAATCATCAGTCTCAAGCTCAACATGCTAAATAAGGATTTGCTAAGTTGATTGAATAGCGCTTGGTAGAAAGCCCCAGCACAGGGCGGTTGGAGGATTGGGAAGGTTTCCCCTGGACCCTGCTCTTTGGTTCTAAGTATTTCATTAATATCCATTTTGTTTCAAGTGCCTGTGAATTCCCCTTGCCATATGGTCTTGTGTAGACAGCAGTAACACCCAAGCTGCCGTGAACCCTCAGCACACTAGACATATTGCACGACCGGATTAAAGCCCGCCTAGTCTATGGGAAATCTAATGGGAAACATAACCTGGAAACCGCACACAGAGGCATACAGAAACATTTTCTGTTTTCCCTTCAGGGAGTATTTCTGGGGAGGGTCCTGATACTTTCAATAAACTGACCGAACCTATTTCTGATTTAACTTTTGAAGGTGAAGAATGATCCCTTATCCCTTTTTCTCAAAAGGGCAACATGCCTGATTGTGGGCCCCGAGTTACCCTGGCAAGCACTGCATGAGCTATCCCACTAACTTCAAATGGAACCACTGATCTCAGTCAGTGCTCACCAACAGAGGGACGAGTTCCAGAAGGAGACCTGGTCCAACGTCCTCTGAAATCACTGGGCCACTTTCCATTTCAATGGGTTTGGGCTCAGGGCCAGGATGAGGTACGTTATTGTGTCCATCAACTGCAAATTACTATTCAATCCTCTATGGATTCTCTGGGTTTGTCCCAACAAATTCACCTCATGAAGGGCTTGATCCACATCAGTGGGAGCTGAAGCATGCCCCATTTTTGCCCTGTAAAGTTAATGCCTTATTTATTTTCCTACTGTTAAACTGATTCATATTTCCATGAATAAAGCTCTCGTCAAATATAATGAGATGGAAGGAAATCCTGCACTAGGGGAAAATACGTGGCGTGCGCAATAAACTAATGATGATGTATTAGTATTGTTTGTATTATGGTAGCCCCTAACCAAGGATTAGGAACCCATTGTTCCAGTGCTGTACAAACACAGTGAAAAGACAGTCTCTATCCCCAAAAGGGGGTACAGTCACCATCACCTACCTGTCAATAGTACATAAGCACCCACTAACTGATAACCAGGCACACTGACTGACCGGGTGATCACGCTGTAATTGGTATCGGCTGGCTAATCACCAGGTGTCCATGAACTCACTGAACTAAGTTAAATAAGAAAACAAAAACGCCAGCAACACAGATGCCCCGCATAGCGACTCACTGTAAGCTGGAAAAACGACCACGGTGTTCTCTAGCAATACCCAATATTGACATTTCACAGTAGCTGAAGGGGTTAATTTGAGGAGGGGCGGATGAGTGAAAATAGCCCTCGGTAAAGAACGCATTTCCATTCCTTTATTTCAATCGTATTTCGTATAGGTAACATTGCAGTGATAACCTCTACTCTTAAAGACACTGGTATTAATATTGATCATGAATAAAACATGTGAGGTGATAAATAATTCAGTTATGAGGATGGTAAGTAAAATATTACTCTTCAGTGACCCTGTAATGTGGCTTTGAAGCATAGTTTTATGTTAAATGCCTAGGAAACACCGCGACCCCTGCCAAGGCAGCTGGTTTTCACAATCTGCATTAAAAATTAATGCACTGACCTACAAAATGCTATTTTTTAAAGCAGGTTTGAAACTTTCTTTAGAGTTACAAAGACAAAGGCTTTGCTGGAGCTCATATAAACTGCAACAAAGTTAACAGCAAGCGAGCACCTGGATGTTGTTCCCGACCTGGAAATAAATCACTTCGGTGTGTAAAGGAGAAAGGGGTGGGAAACTGACTGCTTTATGGGACACCATTCAAGGGAGATAAATCTGTACGTACAATCCTACATACTTCTCACCTGACTGCACAACAAACTCACACAGCTGAGCGCTTGCTCCTCTGACTCTACTGCCTTTCACCAGGAAACACGAGGGTTCCTGTTATCAGGGGGGCTTAATTGTTTAAACATACGTTGGGAGCAGTGCTGCCCACACCTTCCCGACACCAAGGACGGCATCAGCCACTTGCCAAGAGCCTGAGGGCTGCATCTAATTTGCATGCACATTTACATAATTATATTTTAAACTAATTGCATGGAACTATAATATTCATTTGCACTCTTTAGTCTCCTAGATAGGGAGACACTATCTAATCCATCTATCTTGGTTTTTTAACTTAATCCATCCAGTTGTCCCCAATGCAACCATCACTGCAGCATCTGAGTAGTAGTGGATGAGTGGAAACTGCTGGCTGGTTCCGTTAACCTGCTGTTAGAGGGTATCTGACCTGGTCTTTTCCCCCTTAACACTTTCTACTGGTTCAGCTCTGACTGTGGTAGCAACAATGGGAGTATTAGTGTAGGCAAGGCACCAGCATGTTGACCATTGTGTCATCTAACTCTGCTAAGTACAATTACGGACAACGTGATGGTTAAAAATGCCCGTAGCTGCTGGGGCATTGGCTATAGCAAACATCACTCTGAGCCTGCGTATAAGCAAATGTGGTATCCTCCCCTCCAAGGGAAGTATTTCGTAAGACCACCACAGGCATAGAGAGCCAAGAATGATGCTGGTGGTATCTTTATCACCAGAACATGACTACGGCGTGAAACGTCTCAGAG